TAGGTTTATCTCTACAAAAATTGTTTTACCAACTAGATAACAAATATTTTTACATAAAGGGTGTTCTGATGATCTCTTTTTTCTAGTTTGTTATTGCTAGATATTATGTAAAAAAACAATGTTCAAGTAGGCGTTCAAAGTTACCCTCGCATTTCGGGTAACTTTGAACACTATTAAACTGAATGTCAATTTTAATCTTTTAAATCTAAAAAGTTGTTTAAATATCTTTGTATTAGTTTAAATTAATTTTTTAAAAAATCTAGTTAAACTATTTCGAGAATAAACAAACAAGTTTTTCAATAAAATATTTCGAGAATAAACAAACAAGTTTTTCAATAAAATATTTCGAGAATAAACAAATAAGTTTTTCAATAAAATATTCACAAAATAATTTTTAAGGTATAAAAGTTTTTTTAAATTTAAATAGTTTTATTTATTTGAAGTTTATCAAGTTTATTTGACCAAACTAACATAATCTTAAAAAAGAAATCAAAAGAATCCAAAAGAAAGCAGTAAAAACCTGTTTTTTTGACGCAATTGTCTTATTTTTGAATTTTAGATAAGTTATTATATAGAAAAAGGGGTTTTGTCGTAAAAAACTTAGGTTCCTTTGATTCACTCAGGTTTATATGACCTTATTCTTTAACAAACCAACATAATTTTAAAAAAGAAATCAAAAGAATCCAAAAGAAAGCAGTGGAAACCTGTTTTTTTGACGCAATTGTCTTATTTTTGAATTTTAGATAAGTTATTATATAGAAAAAGGGGTTTTGTTGTAAAAAACTTAGGTTCCTTTGAATTAAAGATTAAAGATAAAAAATTAAAGATTAAACTTCAAATAAATAAAAATTTATAAGGTATAAAAGAAAAAATAATTAAGACATTATTTTTATATAATTCTCCACAAATAAACACCATTGACTATAAAACTAAATATTACAGTGTTTCATTCTTTTAGTCTTGAGTTACAACTAACTCTTTTACAAAATAATCATGATCAAGGAAAACATGTACATAGTGATTGTTTATTTGCTCCAATGAAAAAACTGCATCATTTTGAGATACAGGTAAAACTTGTTCATTGTCAATAACTTGATTAACATTTACGATGCTTGTAAAATATTAAGTTTTTTGTTTATTTTCATAACCATATTATTTGATCCAAGTGGTCTTCCTCTTTTCTTTGCTCGAATATTATCTTGACTTTTTTTTTTATTGTCTCTTTCCTTATAGTATGCTTCTACCTCAGTGGCTGATACACTTTTCCCTGCTGTTATTGGTAACTTAAATTTTTTGCTTACTTCATAATTAAGATGAATATCATCAACATAATTCCTAAACGATTCTCCAATATTGAGTTGAATATCTATATTTGTAAAACTGGGTAATTTGAAGAGAACATGTTCTGGTACAAATGGATATATGCCAGTAGCCTTAAATCCTGCTTGGAGATTATGTTCTAGATTTTCTTTACCAACATTAAGAGTAGATTTAATGAGCTGCGTAAACAAATTTTTTGGCAGGTTATTAACCTTTTTTCCTCTGGATGTTTTACACTATTGATTAAGAACTGAACTCCAATCAGCTTTTAAACTCGAGAAATATCCAACATCTAAAGGTTGTAAAAGGTGTGTGGAATTGGGTACCAAACATATAAATGTTATATTATGCTTTTCACATATATTTAAGGCTTTTAAAGATATATGAGCACTTAATTTATCGCAAATCAGAATTTTTTTACCTTCCTTATTTATAATATTTGGAACAAAGTGATTTAACAGCCACTCTTCAAATATTTGAATTTCCATCCAGCCACTGCAAGAAGTTGCCATTCTTGATCCTTCTGGTGCGTTGAAAAGCCAGTCAGACCAACTGTGTTTTCCTTTAACAATGAAAAATGGTGGAATTAGTTTTCTGAGGCATTTCCACAAAAAACAACAGTGTAACAAGTTTTTGTTGTGTTTCTTATAAGTTCTGGATGGCGAGAGGATCGACGAAAAATAAGTTTTTTTTTTCCAGGGTCATCATGAAACCCTGTTTCATCCATATTGTAAATGTTATCTGGTGTTATTCCATTTAATTCCTTCTCTAGATTTTGAAAAAATAATTTTATTTGACAATAATTAATCTGTGCACGTTTCCTTGAAATACAATGAAATACTTTTTCTTTTAATGATGGATGCCTGTCAAGATAAAGTTTACACCACTCCCAACCTCGTCGGTTATCTTTAAACTGTTGTATATTTTTTCCACTATCATCCAGATAGATTTTGACAATACTTTTAAAATCATTAATTCCAATTGGTATACCTTTGTCACTTAAATAAAGTGATTTTCAAAACAAAGTTCCTCATCAATGCTAAGGGCAATAGGACGCCCTACTGATTTACAGTGTTTACTTTTTAGCTTATAAAATGATGTTGTTTTAGGTACTTTATAAATTTTAGAAGCTTCACCAATCGACATTTTTTCTAATTTAATTTTGGCTAAAGCCTCTTGACGTGTAGAATTGGTGTAATTAAATTTAGTGCCATATTTTCTTGTGCCAGGATGAGTTGTCGAACATTTTCTTGGTATTTTATGAATGCTAAAAATGTAAAGATGATTTATGTTATTAATGAAAATTATTTAATTAATTGCATATTTGCTATTAATAAAATATATTATTAAATCTATCAAGATATAATTTTTAGAATTTTTGATATTTATAATATCATATATAATTATATAATAAAAATACTATAATAAAAGGATGCCTATTATTTATTATGTATTATTGCAATGTTACTCAGACAGCAAAAAAAGCATTTTTGGAAAATATTGATTGTCTAAAGTTACCCTGAATTTGGTTATTTTTTAGCTAAGTGGAAATAAATATCCTTTTTGTAGCAAAAAACATGTTAAATCCTATTATTTTGAGTTTGTATTAAAGTTCGAAAAATAATTCAATAAAATACTTAAAAATTTATTCAGATAATTACAATATAATACCAAATATTCTAAATTGAAAACACACGATGTTATCACCACATTCGACTGTGTAACTGGAAATGGAGGAAAACATTATTTTTGAGAAATAAAATTTAATTTTCTTTGGTCAAACTTTTGTAAAAAAGATAATTCCTCATATTATTCTTTGTTAAAGCAACAGGCAAAGAATACCAAAGAAAAAAAAATTTAAAAACATTTACACGTTTAGTTTAATGTTACCCGCAAATTTAAAGTTACCCAGAACGACTGTATAAAAACAAAATAAACTGTTTTCGTTACATCCGTATCCGAAAATTTCGTAATCATAGTAAGTGGGAGAATATCAATAAAAAAAAATCGCCGTGAATAAGAGTGTGACACGGTTAAATGCTTTAGTAAAATCTAAAGAATTAGTAGTGCAGAGTAGCGATCATTAAAAGCTTCGGTAAATAATGTCTAAAAGATTAGTCGTACACGAATGATTTCGAACGATGACAAGATAACAAATTATGAGTGTAAAATTGGTCTGCCATAGTGTCGCGAAGTAACTTTTTTACGGAGAGAACGATTCGGAAAAATGAAACGATCTGCATTTATTTAATTATCAACTAGTTGCTTACCATTTAATTCGAAAAAAGAACGAACCTTTTCACAAGTTTGCTTACATATGAATAGGATTAAATTTACAGTTTGAAATAATGTAATTTCCATATTTATTGATACCTTATGTAACTTTTATGTAAATTTGTTTGTTAAAAAGAACACGTGCAATTTAAATGATGAAGTGCTCTGGAGTTTCTTAAGTAGACAAAATATTGCTCTGCTTATTTAACTTTTAAATTAAAACATTTAGGATTTATATAACAGAATCTAGCGGTACATTTAAGTATATACAAGTCACACAGTTCATTTATTGTATTCTATACAATAATATACAAGTCACACATCTTTATTGTATTCTAGACAGAAAAGTTCGAAACATTCGTCAGCTGGCTTGCCATAAAATAAATTAACCCAATCAACAGCATCAAGACATTTACTAAATTTAACGTAATTTTCCTTGCTGTAATAGTGATTTTGTTAAAGCCAATACATTCGACTTTATTTTAAAAACTATTGTTCTCTGCCTATTTTTTTTTTTTTTTTTTTTGAAATCGAGGGGTCCTTGAACTTGGATATTTTATAGGTAATAAGTCATTAAAGCAAGATTTAATTAACATGACAAAAATGTACCTTTCATTATTTTTATTTGTCGTTGTTATTTTTGAATACGTCGTTGTTATTATTGAAAATGTACCTTTCATTAAGTCGTTGTTATTTTTGAATACGTTGTTGTTATTATTGAAAATGTACCTTTCATTAAGTCGTTGTTATTTTTGAATACGTCGTTGTTTTTATTGAAATTGTACCTTTCATTAAGTCGTTGTTATTTTTGAATACGTCGTTGTTTTTATTGAAAATGTACCTTTCATTAAGTCGTTTCTTTTTTTGAATAGTTTTACAATTATTCTAAAGATTAAGATTTTAAGAACGGATATAACACGAAAGTTAATGAAAATTTTATTTCAAATATGAAGTCGTTTATGCACCGCGTGCACCTTACTTATGTAACTATAACTAGCTCATGAACTACCATGCACCCGTATTATGCACCTACACATCTAATAACCAAAATTTCAATATTATTGTAAAAAAATAATGTAAAAAAACACAAAGAAAACAAAACAACAATGACTCAGAGTTTCAAAAATCACATTAAAAAACTGAATTTTTAAATAAAACAAAAGTTATCAAATATTTATCAAACGGACAGATATATTACAATTATTACTAAAATCAAAATGTAAAAAAATGCATATACAATGAAAATACAGATAAATAAAATAAGCAAATTCGATTAAAACTTTGAAAACTTTGTTCGTTGGTTACTAACAAAACTATGTTCGTAAATTAAAATTTCAAAGGAATTTATCAGTTGATAAAAGTCGATATCTTTTTTTGTTAAATAAAAACAAAGTTTTATTAAAAGTAAAAAAAAAAAACATTGTATTCAGATTTAGTATGAAAATAAGAATTATAGTAAAATTGCGTCCGTATTTAAATAAAAAAAGATTTTTAAAATCTTTTCTACTCGTCGTCCATTTTTTTAAAAGCAATCTGTTAGATTAAAACACTTGACAAAGTATTTACAAAGAGAATTTAAAGTCTTTACAAAGATTTCGTACAAAATAATTTAATATTCCTCCATGACGATAATACAATATGTCTAGGTCCGAATCAAAACGGGATTTGACTTGAAAGGTTCGACCGTTGTCAAGCTATAAAAACAAATAATAAATAATACCCAAAAAATAGTTCAAACCCACTAGGTAAGTTTAACTGAAAAACAAAACAACTAAGAGTTTTGGAACGCTTTATTTTGATAAAACTGAGAATCTAAGATAATATTGAAGATCAAATGAAAGTTTTATCATTTATTTGCCTTTCATTTAATTAGATTGATTGATTTTTATTGATTATAATCAAAAAACTTTAATTAGTAATTAATTTAATTTATTGAGATATATTCAATAAATTAATGAGTATTTTACCTTGATTTAAAAATATTTACTGGTAATATTACTTGATTTAAAAATATATTTACTAATGATATATAATAATCTTTTATTAGTATCAAAGAATATTTCTAATGTGAATAATGCTTATAAAGTAATTCCTCCTTTTTTAAAGAAATTGCATGTTCATAAATGTTGAAAAAATATTGAATTATTAATTTTTTTTAAACATTTTTTGATTCATTTTTAATATTCAAAACATTTTTATCACTCCTGAATCTAAATAGACAACTAGAATAACAATAACAATAGTTATTAGAATTTAATTTATTTGCTTTTTTGACATTTTCTTACCATTGCGGACTCTCTCTCTCTCTCTCTCTCTCTCTCTGTGTGTGTATATATATATATATATATATATATATATATATATATATATATATATATATATATATATATATATATATATATATATATATATATATATATATATATATATATATATATATATATATATATATATATATATATATATATCAATATGTAGAATTAAATACTACCTGACTAAAATTACAATATTGATGTTGAATAATTGTTATTCCCGCTACATTAAAAATATTTGTGGCAAAATGCAAGTTTTGTAATAGATTTGTGACTCAAGAAGAGCAGCTATGTCCAGGGCTACCCTCCAACTTTAAAAATATCGGTTTTTTAACATTTTTTCTTTAATGCTTTGCTTTTAACTAAACTACAAATGTTTTTAATCGAAGCAACTTTTATTAAAGCTCTAGACAGTTTCTTTTCTGATAGGGGCTGTCCATTAATTATGTCAACAACAGAAAGGGGAGGGAATGGGGTCTGAAATTTTATTTACAATTGTTGACAAGGGGGGCTGGGAGGAAGGGGGTCAAGACAAGTTGACGTCAATAATCTGACTTTTTTATTTTAAATAAAATTGTTTACTTAAAAAATAAAAAACTAAGCAGCCTTTGCAGTCCAGTGTTACACACTAGATCAGCCTTTAGTATCTATTTATATTTTTACTTTTTAAAAACCGTGTTTTAAAAAATCCGACACATAAAGGACAAAATAAGCTAACACCAGATGTTTACTCATAAAATATTATTTTTTTTAAAGTTGTTGTTGGTTAGTCTATTGAAAAAAAAATTTCTTTCCTTACCTTCGCCGGTAAGTAAAGAAATTTCCTAAACGGAGTTTGTCATAAATCATTCCATTTTTTAAGGTAATTAATTTCTTAAAGTATCCCTTTAATATATTTCCTTAAATTATCCTTTTAATATATTTCCTTAAATAAAGGTAATTCATTCATGGCTCAGCTGTAAAATAAGGAAATGCTTAAGAAATTTTACCTCGTGTTAAAAAAGAAACTTTACAGTTCTATTACAACAAGGGAGATTTAGCGTCTCTTATCATTGTAATAAATAAATTCATTATAAATTTATTTTTAGTTTGAAATGCAGGAAAATAAGAAAACCTAAAAATAAATATTTGAAGACATGAATTACATGTCATTACAATTTTCCTTTTAAATTTTCTTATTTTCCTGTATTCTTTTATTTTAGTACCTACAGGTAAAGGGATCTCAGAATGTTAGGTGTTTTTTAAGATTCTGCTAAGCTCCAAGTATTGAGCATATACTTTGTTTTTACTTCTCTAAGTTAAAAAAACACACCTGCTAGATAGCCAAAAAGTTTTAGCAGTTTTTTAATACAGTTTTTATATGTTTTTAAATAAATATTTAGGACATGCTTTTTTCGTTCGGGACCTCAGAATGTCAACTTAAATAAAAGGTAGTACTGTTGCCAATATTGCTTCGTTAATCATGAATTTCTGCATATATTATTTATTTTTAATGCTGAATATTTACTATTAAATGGTTTAATGGTTTTAATGCTGAATATTTATTATTAAATGGTTTATTATTAAATGGTTTTAATGCTGAGTATTTATTATTAAATGATTGGTTTGTTTTTCTTTAATACTTTTTTCATTCCACCACACAATGCTAGGTTAAGGTACCTCAAAACGCTAGGTAAATGAAAGTTAATTTATAAAGTTATTTGCATTCAATTTCTTCTTGACGTTATAAAATGGATATTCTGTTTATAGCTTCATCACGAAACCTCTTTCAAAACACACTTTAGTATGTTTTCTTTGTTTGTTTTTGAATAAATAAATAAATTATACTAAAGTGCGTTTTCTAAAGTATATGACGTAAGTGTGTTTTTATATTCCTTTGCAGTAGAGAATAAATAAAAAATGGGAAAGTTTTTTAGAATTAAACCAACAAACAAATCAAGATGCAATGTTCTAATAGATGTCATAGTGATGAAAAGTAAGCAGTTAGAGGAAGCAGTTGAGTGGTGCCAAATTAACAATAAATGTGGTTGGGCTGCAATTAATTCAGGAAGATTTCCACTAATTAAAGATCTTAGAACAATTAACAAACAGAATTATGGTGTCATTGTTACTGAAAACGAGAAGGAATATTGCTCAATTTTTACAAAAGATGAAGAAGAATCGTTAGTCTGTTATATAAGAAACAAGTATAGGTAATAATGTACACATAATTGAAAAATAATTTTTTTTTAATAAACTGTTATTATCTGTAATAAATTCCTGGTTTTCATATTGCTAATTAAGAAAATTAGGCTCATACTGTTTAGTTTTCTTGTATTGTTATTTAAATAATTTATTTAGGTGCCTTCAAGGTTTAAACAAGTCGGAGTTGACAAGGATAATGTTGAATGTTTTGGGAGTAAGAAAACAAGCCTGTAGAGACCTTCGTGGACATCAGATTACTGTTTATCACCAAATGGTCAACGAGCACTCCAAACAAAGAAGCTTAGCAAGTCTTTTTGGAAGCGTTGGGATGCAAAGTATCAGAAGTATATTACCAAAGAGACAAGGAACTGTATCCATGAATCGTGCCCTTAACTGCACAAAAGAAATGGCATGTAACCACCTCAACAAATTAGCAGAAGAATTTATAGAATGTAATATTTTCATTGATGCAAATCAATTAGAAACAGGTGTATGGCAGGGAGATATAGATACCGCTAGAATTTATAATCATGATGAAACCCCTCAATTTATAAACTATGGAGTTGATGGTACTCCAAATGGTTTAGTGTATGCTAGGAGAGGGGAAAATTGTCAAATGATGATAAGAGAAAATAGAGAATGCATAACCATACATCCTTTTGTTTCCTTTGGAGGAGATATACCAATGTGCCATGTCATATTCAAGGGAAAAGGGATTAGTGCCCACATAGCTCCAAAAGAAGCAGTTACACGAATTCCAAATCTTCTAATCACCACAAATGACAGTAGAAGTCAGGATCACAGTACACTTCTAAGTGCATATCAAATGTTTGACCACTTTTAAAAAAAAAACAACATAAAACAACCTGTTGTTGTCCTATCTGATGGTCACTCTCCAAGATTTGACAGTGATGTATTGACATTTTTAGGAAGCAAAAATATAAGACTTTTTATCACTCCACCTGACACAACTGGCATTACCCAGCTCCTTGACCAAATCAATCAGAAATTGCACTCGGAGTACAGAAGTGCTAAATCTGTACTTTATTCTTCGTTTATGACAATCAACAGAGAAGCTTTCATGAATACACTTGCAGAGTTAGCCTCAAAACAAACAATCATAAATGCATGTAAAAAAGTTGGCATTTCAAGTGGAGGACTCAGTGTTAAGTGGATGCAGAAAGATAAGTTTTTACGAGCTGAGCTGTGTATTAATGAAAATACCGAAAATAATCAATTATCAAAAGCCCTAACAATTTCATCTCCAAAAAATGTTTGCTATGGTTCAGCAAGATATTGCAGACATAAATACGAAAGTGCTTTGAAAGCTTATCAAACGATATCTGATAAATCAATATCACTGGAAAAAATACCTCACTTATTGCCTGTAACCAAAGTGACACTTAAAATAAACAAGGAAAATGTTAGAGTTACTCAGGTTAACGGGTTGATGGAGGGGAAAAAAATATTGGAAACGGTTTCTTTAATCAAGGAAGACAAAGCCAAAAAGGAGAAAGCTAATAAAGCTAAGGAAATCCAAGCAACAACAACAAATTGAGGCATTCTATAATTGTAAGGAAGAATGTATTTGTGGAAAAAATGAGCTTCGAGAATGCTCGTGTTGCCATAATGTTTTGAAATCTACATGTAGTAAAGCATCATGTCGAGTTGAAACAGGCTTAAAACCAAATATGGTCAAACCATTTTGTGAATTAGGACCCAAAAAATGCCTTCAGTTTGAGTCTGATAAAGATAACATTAAAAACTTCATTCCTATAACTGATTTTATCCAGAATACAACGATTTTAAATAAACCTATAGCTTAGAATTCTCTATTTGCTGATATTTGATTGAAGTTTACCAGAATACAACGTAGAATTCTCTATTTGCTGATATTTGATTGAAGTTTACCAGAATACAACGTAGAATTCTCTATTTGCTGATATTTGATTGAAGTTTACCAGAATACAACGTAGAATTCTCTATTTGCTGATATTTGATTGAAGTTTACCAGAATACAACGTAGAATTCTCTATTTGCTGATATTTGATTGAAGTTTACCAGAATACAACGTAGAATTCTCTATTTGCTGATATTTGATTGAAGTTTACCAGAATACAACGTAGAATTCTCTATTTGCTGATATTTGATTGAAGTTTACCAGAATACAACCTAGAATTCTCTATTTGCTGATATTTGATTGAAGTTTACCAGGATCTTAATTTTATATTTTTTGTTCATAAAATTTCTTTTAAGTTTGTTAATGTTATTTAAAAAAATTATCAAAAGTAATCACTGAAGTTTGTTATATAGTTTTTGATTTGGTACCTTAAAATGTTAGGTGCAGCATCTCAAAATGCTAGGTATTTTAAGAAGCGATTTAAAGAAAATTGGATTTGTTCTGTGCCCGCATCTTTTTAGCACTGTCTTTGGAGTCTTAAGGCAACATTTCTTATAAGGTTCTGCAAACTTATTTTTAGAAGGGCTTGAAATGTTCGAAACTATTGTTAAAAAAAGTGTAAGTAGCTTGTTGATTTTTTTCAATGTCTTTGTAATTTAGAGTATTTTTTAAGTATTAAATGTAATATTTTTTTATTTATGACTTAACATTATATTCTTTATTCAGATTATTCAACGCTTTCAGAGTTTATTTTAAAAAATCAAGTTTTATGTTGGTTTATTTCTAACCTGACATTCTGAGGTCCCACTGCATTCTGAGGTCCTTTTACCTGTATAAAAAACTTTTTAAAATTTTTTTGAACTTTTGTTTTGAAATTTATTGGTAGCTTTTGCTTGATATAATCAAACTATTAAATATTTAATACTGGTGTAAAAATAGCAATGTATGAAATAAGGTTTGTTCTATTTTCAGTTTTAGTTTTGATGTATTAAATTATGTTAATATTCAACTTTTTAAAACTATATTCAACAAGCAATAAACTAAAATATCATTTTTTATATCGAAGTGTTTTTTTATGCAGCTTGATTGTTAGATTATCAGCTGTCATATCCACCAGATTGTTGTATGTAAAGGAGTTAGTAGATAAGTTCAAACTGAACTTAGTTTTTCAGGTTTGTTATGCTTTTACTTTTTGCTGTATAATGATTAATGTGTTTTTATTTTTAGTTGGTTTTTAATTTTTATATATGTACTTTTTTTAGGTAGCTTGGTTGTTGATGCTGCGCCTAAAAACTGTTGGGCATGGAATTGCTGAAAGAGTCTCCATCACCTATGTCACAGCTGCTAAAGTTATTGACCTGTAGGGCTTTTACCCTCTAAAAGACAAGCTAAATATGGTAAATGTATTCCTTTCAGGAATCACTGGTCTAAAACCAGAAGATTTTTTTGAGCCTAAATCTCACAAAGGTTTTTTGGCAAAATGCAATAAAAATGAAAGCAGGAAGCTTAATTGCAGTGAAAAACGCTGGATGTGGTCTCCAAAAGATAAACAAGGGGAACAAAATAAAAAAATTTTTTTTTATAAAACTACTGGATTAGAAATCCAAAAAATTTTGCATTTGTCGGATGTTATAGAGTATTGAAAGTATATGAAGTTTGCAAAGATATAATATTTGTAGACACTCTTTTCATAGGTATAATGTTATAAGATATATAGGTATAGTGTATTAAGTTATAAAGTTATGTTATAATGTATATTTATAGACACTTTGTTCATTGTGAATATGATTCAAATGATTAATTGTCATAAATCCAACCTATAGAATATTTCATTTATGTGTTTCTTGTTCTTTTCATGGAATAAAGCTTTTTCATTTTTTATTTTAATAAACTAACAGGTGCTGATTTTAAAATTGAAATTTTTAAACTGGCAACATTGTCTGCAACAGTATTTTCTGAAGACTTACCAATCGCTGCAAAGAAAGCTTTTTGCTACAGACGGAAAAAATAGAACAAAGACATCCGTCATATCTTGAATGTGCTCAGCAGATTGCATGTAATTTGTTTCTGCCTTAACTGGTAAGTATAAACCACTGTTTCTAATTTAAAATTAACTTTAAATTTAATTATAACTTTGTTCTATTTACCAAACAACATTTGAAATGGTTAGAGTCAAGTTTATTAATTATTATTTTTTCATTAATTATCTTTTTCATATGGTTTTTATGTAGAGGATGGGTTGAGTAAGAAAAAGTTTTTAGTGCTTTTAATTACAAACTGAAAATATTAAGATTTTTACTGTTATGGTATTTTTTAAATGCCTAACTCACGTAGATTCTAGATGATTAAAATATAATTATTACCAATTGTTGTTTGTCTTGGACATATCTCATAGTGCCTTATTGCTTATTGGACATAAGATAATGTCACTGGTTTTGACGGCTAGCAGCCAGGCAAATTTTTTTCTTTCGTTAGGCAACTTAATATCAAATTATTTTGTGAAAACCTCACATTTGTTGAAAATGTTGTATATATTATTTTGCTTTATCCATTTTCTTATCAATGATTTTAAGTTTAGTTGCTGCTTGATTTTAGACGCATGCATCCAGATGCAGCTAATTTGTTTTATTACATACATGTTGACATTGGTTCCATCTATTCTTGCTTATTGTTCGAATTCGACACTGGAATACCTACAAAAATGTACCAAAGAGGCAGCTATTGGAGGGTCAAGTTAGTTTTTTCTCTAATATTTAATTACAATAATAGCTTTTTTTATTACAATAAAAAATAATTTATTTAATAATATTGACACTTGTGAACTCACAATAGCCAAATTTGCCAGCAAGTTTTTGCTCTAACTCATGTTTTTGTTTTTCAAAGATGCTCAGGTAATGCCTGCTATTAAACATTGATCTTTTTATTACCGATGACTGGAAAAAAACGATTAACAACAAAAGAATCATTTGATTACTGGAGGTGGACTACTTTTGATGAAATGCATAGTATGAATAATAATATGAATAAAATCTTAGTTATTTGTATTTCTTGAAATTTTATTTGGAAACAAAGTTTATGCTGTCTAAAAATCTTTGATTTCTATCAGTATTTTCGAACATTTATCATAAGTAACAAGTAGTAATAATAAGTTTATTTGCAATAATACTTATTTGAATATATATATATATATATATATATATATATATATATATATATATATATATATATATATATATATATATATATATATATATTTAGAAAAAATATATGCTTAGAATAAATTATTGTAAATTAATTTTAAATTTTAAATTCCAGAAAGCCAGTCAGCTCCATTAATCTAACAAAAAAACTGGCTAATTTAAAGTTGAATATCAAGCAATCTGCTGATGATAATAATTAGCTAAATGGAAGTGTTATTTGTGGTGGCAAAGTCTGTGTGGCAGGATTTAACATGGTTGATTGCATCGACTATTTGTTTAAAATGTTTTGGGTGTTTTCTTTGGAATATTCTAATGGATTAAAAATGTTTTTGAAATTCCTACAGAACAAAATTTATCTATTAAGTTTTGGAAAAGAGAAAACTCCCAAATCAGTTAATAGCGTCGATCGATTTTTTAAATTGAACTAACAACTTTTGTTGTTGTCCTGTGTAAATATATTTGTTATTGTTAAAAATGTAACTATGCCACTTTTAAGTTGTGATCTCAAAATTTGTAAATTTTTACGGTGTACTTTTTGTAGATTATAGTTTTATGTATATGTATATTTTTGTTGTTGATATCAAAAAAAAAATAACTGCCTAAAAATAACTCAATTATATATGTAAATTAATCAAATTTCGCTTTGCAATACATTGAATGAATTTTTCTTATATTTACTTATGGGTTTCCTTATTTAAAGGGAATTCGTTTTGAGGAAAGGAATTTCCTTAAAAATCTATTTCCTTATTTAAAGGGAAGTTTTCCTAGTATCAAATATAAGGAAAAAAATATTTCCTTAATTTTTCACTTAAAAATAAGAAAAGATTTTTGAGGAAAGTAATTTCCTTAAAACCAATTTCTTTATTTTAAGGGAATCTTTCTTTGTGTCAAAAGTAAGGAATTATTTCCTTAATTTTTACCTTAAAAATAAGGAAAGATTTTTTTAAGTGTAATCTAAATTATATAACTAAATAAAGTACATAGTATAAATTATATAATTACATAAAGTACATAGTCTAAATTATATAATTACATAAAGTACATAGTCTAAATTATATAATTACATAAAGTAAATAGTCTAAAGTTACATAAAATACATAGTCTACATTATATAATTACATGAAGTACATAGTCTAAATTTATTCAAATGTCTTTAAATATCTAAAAAGTCTTTAAATAAAATATTATTTAAATGTCTTAAAACCAGGGGTCGGTAACCTACAGCTCCCAAGCCTCATATGGTTCTTTTGATGTCAAAATGCTGCTTTTTAGCTCTTTGCACAAATGTTAATATAATATTAAAAAAAATATTATATTAACATTTGTGGCCCTAGCATACATTTAAAATCTATTTTTTTAAGTGTCCAGAGCTACTCTATCATTAAAATAATCTTTGTCCTATCATTAAAATATATAAAATAAATAAATATAAAAAATTCCATAAAAAAATTAAATCAAATATAAATTGACTGCAAGCAGCCAAATTAACAGTCAAATCTTGTTCAATTGACTGCAAGCAGCCAAATTAACAGTCAAATCTTGTTCAATTGACTGCAAGCAGCCAAATGCTTCAAAAAATTGATCAAAGTTGATTAATTGATCCTATTTCTCTGCAGGCATAAACAAAAATGAAAAAGAACTTTTTAAAAATGCAAGTGAAGGAATTTTAGTTTTTTAACTTTTGCATAATATTTTCTAAACTTTTCTTAATAACCATTTTTTTTCACTACTAAATCTATCTTTGTAACTACCATGTTTGACTATTAAATTTATTTTTATAACCATTTTGTTTCACTATTAAATTCATTCTTTTAAATATCTAGTTTTATTCTAAAAACAACTTAATATAAAAACTAAAAAAATCAATTTTGTTTAGTGACAGAAACATCTAAGGTGAACAAAAACACAACTCAAGTAAAATAAAAGGAAAAAATCCCTTTAAGATTTTACATTCATTGAAATAATAAAAAAAAATTTAAAGTGAAAATATAAATAATATAATAATAAAAATATAATATAATAAAATAATCAAGTATAAATCAACCTTAACATTGACAATACTATTTGGTTTAACTTCTTCAGTAATTTCGATATTGAAATTTTCTTTGCCTGTTAACCCAAGAGTTTCAGATGACTGACCTTCTAAAAACTCTAAAGGAGCAATACCCATGCCTATAAGATTACTTTTATGTGTAGGATCAAAACTCTCTGCAATCACTGCTTTAATTCCCTATTAAAAAAATCTTTACATTAGTAGCAAAGATAAGATTTTTCTTTTAATAAAATATTTAAAATTTTTTTAAGCATTCATTATTAAAATAAAATATGAACCTGCATCCAAGGTCCTTTTGCAGCCCAGTCTCTTGAAGATCCACATCCATATTCTTTTCCTGCTAACACAACCAAATCTTTATTTTCTCTTTTATATCGCTCAGCAGCTTCATAAATATCCATCTTTTAAAAATCAAAAAAAATTTTTTTTTTTAATTTAACACAAAAATAATTAAAAAAAAAATTAGCAATTTTATAAAACAATAATTAAAACAATTGAACCATGAAACAACATGATTAAAACATGAGTTGAACCATGAAACAACATGATGTACTAAAACATGAAACAACATGATGTACTAAAACATGAAACAACATGATGTACTAAAACATGAAACAACATGATGTACTAAAACATGAAACAACATGATGTACTAAAACATGAAACAACATGATGTACTAAAACATGAAACAACATGATGTACTAAAACATGAAACAACATGATGTACTAAAACATGAAACAACATGATGTACTAAAACATGAGTAGAATAGCAATCATAATTTTGTATATTTTTACATATATAAATACTTTTTTACAGTTCTAATAAACAAATATTGTTATACATTCTAAATTAATCAAGCTCAACCATAATACATAAACACAGTTTTAAATTTTTTATAAAAACAGTATTTTGCACTCTTTATAAATAAAGAATGTGTTATCTACTTTATGAATATAGAACAAAATAAATGCTAAATAAATTTCACCTCATCACCTGATGGCCAGTGTTTAGTTCTAGGACCAACTTTTCCAATAATTTTGTTGAAAATACGAATGTTTCCAAAGGTTCCTCGTGCCATTACTTCAACATTTCCTCTTCGCGATCCATATGAATTAAATTGTTTTGAAGATAAACCATAACTTGCCAGATACTTTGCTGCAGGGCAATTTCTTGCAATCATTCCAGCTGGTGATATATGATCTGTTGTGACAACGTCTCCAAATTTAAGCAATACAGAAGCATTCTCAATACTTTTTATAATTGGTACTTCTAAAGTCTATTTTGTAAAATGAAAAATACTTGTATTTTAATATATTATAATTAATTTATATATACATACAGACACACAAATATATACACACACATGCACACGCATATATTTATACCAATTGGTCAAAGAATGGAACATTCCGTATGTAAGTTGAGCGATAATCCCATGGAAAAAATAATGAGTCAGCAGTTTTTAACTTGTTCCAAGCATTATTTTCATTATTTACTGATAAGAAAACTTGATGAAACAAGGATGGAATAATACATTTGATCTCAGTCTCCTATAAAATTATATAAAATCTTTATATTTGTACTTTTCAAATTATTTTTAGTAATATTAATTTAACGCGACTTCTATTATAGAAGTCACATGCAAATGAAAACTTAAACCATTACACATACATAAATAAAAGTTGTAGATACATGAAACAACTAAGTTATATTAAATAAATACATGTTACTAAATTGTAAGAAAAAAATAAAATTTTTTAAAAAAATATTAACTTTCAAAATTATTTGAAAACTTTGAATTGTACCTGTATTTCTTCTCGTGTTGGCCATATTTGATTTAAATAAATTGGTTCACCATTGTTATTATGACCTTAAAAATACCAATTTTATTACACTAAAGTTCTTTTAAAATTGATTTAAAAAATTTCAAAATATTTACTGTTAAAATAAACATAGATAACCTATTACTTAAAATAAACATAGATAACCTATTGGTTCCTTTTCAAAGTTTATATCAATTGTTCCAGCAATAGTATATGCAATTACTAACAATGGAGAACCAAGATAGTTAGCAGATACAAGAGGATGCACACGGGCTTCAAAGTTGCGATTGCCAGAAAGAAGACCACAAGTCACTAATTCACCCTAATATTATTAAATAAGTGTCTAGTGTTAATTTTAGATTAAAAAAAATAAAAACTCAAATTTAGATTTAAAAGCATATACATTAAAATTAATGTTTTTTTAATTAAATATTAGATACAGATGTTCATTGGATGAAGTTTTAAAATTCATACAAAAGTTTTAAGAAAAAGTATGATTAGTATTTAAAAAACTGACAAGAAAAAATTATTTGTAAAAATCAAAATCAAAACTCTAACTTACAGATTTTATAGCACAAGATACCTCTTTAGGAAGAGGTTCAAATTTTTCATTCACACCAAATGCTTTAATATCAAATCTACAAACAAAAAACATGCAGTAAAATAGTACTATGATATATGATTGCAATGCAATATTTCCTTAAGTTATTCAGTTTTGACTTTTAACTGCTAAAGTTATTTAGTTTGACTTTTTTTATTCCTTAAGTTATTTAGTTTTGACTTTTTATCTCCTTAAGTTATTCAATTATATATTATTTCTTATTTCTAGTATTTATAGCATTGAAAAATAATCTTGTGTAAAATTTAAGATACCCTAGACTTCTAAGATACTGTTCAACTCCACTTTCTTGAAGATAACAGCTGACAACAGCTGATCCTGGGTTAATGCTGGCTTTAATATAAGGTTTGAGCGAAAGACCTGCTTTTACTGCATTTTTAGCTAACAAGCCAGCACCAAGAATTACAGAAGGGCAACTTGTGTTAGTACAACTTGATATAGATGACATAACGATCGAACCTAATAATATTATTAAACATTTCTAAAAACATTTGAAAAAATTTACTAATCTCAAATTCTTAAATAAAGATGTAATCACCGTGTTTTATTGTAAACTGATTATTATTATACATAAATGAAGCAGAAGCATTGTGTCTATTTAATGGAACTCCAAATCCTTTAAATCCAATTTTCTCATTTAGACATCTTTTAAAATCATTATTTAATTCCTTCACCTCTACTCTATCATTTTGTCGCTTGGGGCCAGAAAATGTTGGAATAATATTGGCTAGGTCCATTTCCAAAACCTAGAATTTACAAAACCGTTAAAAAAATTATTATCAGTTACATGAAAAATTGCTAACATTCAAAAATATAAACAAAATCATGTTTGCCTCTGTAAAAATAGGATCTTGTTCTTCATTGTTGTAATCACGAAACATATTATTGGCTTTTAAATAATACTCTATATATTTTATCTCTTCTTCTGAGTGACCTACAACAAAAAATAAAAACATTTTATTATAGCAAAAAAACTTAAGATAACACAATAACAATATTTAAAAAAAGTAGCAGCAAACCTGATTGTCTTAAATACAACAGAGCAACATTATCAGTAGGGAAAAATCCAACTTGGGCACCATACTCAGGACACATATTAGCAATAGTTGCTCTATCAGCTATTGATAAAGAAACAACTCCTGAACCAAAAAACTCAACAAACTTTCCAGCAACTCCGGCTTGACGTAGATGCTAAATTATTAAAACATTTTAGATTCATTCAAAAACTTATTTAAATATTTAATATAGTATCTCACCAGTCAAATTTCAAAGAAGTCTTTTTTAATGTTATCCCTTTTTACCAACAATACAGTACAATATAATGTTATAGACATATCTTATCTAGACTAAATAGATGTTACAAATATTACGAGTATGAAATTCACAGAAAACTAGGATTTTGCATTTTCATACTATCAATTTGTTTATTTGTAAACATGTCATATCAATGTATACTAGAGAGAGATTTGTGCCAAAATTTAATCCAATTTGCTAGTTCCCTAAAAACCAAGGTGAAGATTTGGATAAATTTTGGAGTTTTACTTAAATTACCTAGAAGTTGTTCATTTTTAGAATATAGATGATGAAAACCGAGTATTATTACCAGCTGAATACTGTAATACAAATTGTAATATAATATTTCTGACATTTTCAATAATGAAAACAGATTCATAAATTGACAAAAAACAGATTAAAAATCAACAACAAACATAAAACGGGTCAACAAAGAATTTTTATCAGAGATAATTTGGGGTTACAATTTTTGAATTTTCATACAGTAATCAGATTTTTTCATATTTTTGTTACAAATGAATAATTTTATTATACAGCTTTTTGTTTATTGTTAATGCTGACTGGAAAAAAAATACTGTCATAATCTTTTATCTAGTCTTTGTATATAAACCAGTTTAACATGATTTTCTTTACAGTTTTTAGTTTTAGCTAGTGATGTACCGATAGCACATTTGTGGCCGATGGATGGAAAAAGGCTGATACTGATGCTGATACCGATGTATTAACTAATTATTAAAATTTTGAAAATATAAAACTATACAACTTTAAATTGTGTAAATTTTTTTATGGAATCAGTAATGGTAATTAAATACTTGGACCTAAATCAGAGCTAAAGCATTATTTTAAAAGATATTAGAAAAACTCAGTTATACTATAAAAACTCAAGTATACATTTTTTAGTTTTTTTTTGCTATGAAAAGCAAACTTTCAAAAAATAAATACAACTTTAGAGGAATGCTTTAATTTTAAAATTTATCAAATTATTTAAAAAGAAAAAGGTACTAAGATAAACAGTTTACTTAATATCTTTATTTATTTATAAGTAATTTAGATTTTTGCATGAAGAATTTAAAAATAGAACTTGATAGTCTCAAGCTTTTTTCAATTTTTTCAAAATTATTGACTTATAATTATCTAGTTTTGCAGCTAAAATGGAGGCTGTCAGGTCAAAATCTGACAAATATGATGATTGGATATCATTACTTTATCCTTGGTCTACTAAAAGAAATTATATTCATGCATTGTCTCTGCAATATTTGATCAAAGTAAGCACTCAAAAACAACATCTTTTTAGAATTTACTTAGACTTTGTAAAAAACTTAAATTTTGTAATGAAGGTGATTTTTATTTGAAACTTCAATAAAATAAGAGCAAATCTCTTATTCCACCTCTCTTGCATGGCTCAGAGATTTTTTTACCCCACCTAAAGTCAAAGCTAAATTGTCTGCTAAGAGCTTTTGATCAATCTCATCCTTTGATTTCAACAATCACACCCTACCTGATATACGCAACAAACAGGTTTCCTACTTAGATTCTTCTACAGCTTGTGGTCTGGACAACATACCTGTTATAGTCTTGTAGAAGTATTTTCTGGAGCTGTCATATTTACTTTCAAAACTGCTTATCAGGGTTTTGTTTTCCAGCCTGCTGAAAAGCATCATCTTTTTTTCTCTATTTTTAAAAATTCTGGGAAGCAATCTGACTCATCTAACTACTGCCCCATTAGTCTTTTTACTATCATAAGCAAGGTTTTTGAATCTTTAATTAACAAACACTTAATCTCTCATCTTGAATCTAATAACTTACTTTCTGTTCATCAATATGGATTTTGATCTTCTTGTTCTAATGCTGATTTGTTAACGGTATTAACCGATAGGTTTCTCCATAAATTCTATTCTTATGGTGTATCAGGTAACATCTTTAATATTATTGAATCCTTCCTTACCAATCAAAGTATAAAAATTGTCCTTGATAAACAACACTCTTCTTTATTCCTTATAACTTCAGGGGTTCCTCAAAGTTTTATCCTTGGCCCTATACTTTTTTTAATTTATATTAATCTCCCAGAAACTCTTACATTCAGTATATTTATTGTTTTTAATATTGCTAGCTGTTTTAACTAGTGATATTAATAACAACAAATATACTGAATATGGAGAAATGTGGAAAAACTTTAAATATTCGTTGCTACTAAGCTAGATTTTCTAGGAAACAAGGTTTTATTCAATTAAAATTGAACAGTAAAAAGAAATAATGTTGCAAGCAAATTTAAAAGAAAAAATCAGTTCAATCAAAACTATATGCTGTTATCATGAGCAAATATATGGAAAATATTTTGAGAGAAAAATTACAAAGTGTTGCAACTCTTTTGGAACACATTAGGAAAGTAAGAAAAGTGCTATAAAAGGTAATCTTATATTTACTATAGTTAATATGTTAATTGAAAAAAATGTATTTTATTAAGATTCATGAATAAATTTTAAGTTAGTTTTAAAAATTATTTAAACTTGATCTTTTAGGCAAACTAAAGATTTTTCTAGACTTAGCAAAGGTTTTATAAAAAAAAAAACATAATACGTATTTTTTTATGAAACCTTTTTATAAAAGTCAGGATGGAAATTCTGAAGCAAATATTACAAAAAAGCAGTAGAAGCTGATGAAGATTTTAGTTCACAAGAGGAATGGGAATTAAAAAGCGAGAAAAAGGTTAAGTTTGATACCTTTATAGAATCGCTTGGGTTTCACCAGTCAAATTGAAAAGTGTTCCAAAACACTGCAAAATACCTACAGTAAAACAAAAGTTTGGCGACACAAGACACATTTACAAATTTTCAAAAAAAAAAAATTTCACAAGATTTATTGGCCAGTTTATAAATTAATAAAAGCAGTTTACCAAGTTAAAAAATTCTTGACTGTTAAAAAAAATTTATGCAAGGGTTTCACCAGATATTGATGAAGCTACTTTAAAACAATAAATTAAAGAAAGATCTAGACATTTTATCGTATGAAATAAAAAAGAAAATTTCTGTAACTGACTCTTATCCCCATGGAGTGTTAACTAGATTCATGGACACATAAAAATATATCAAGTTTTTTTGAAGTGTCTGAGTATCTTGTTCATACTTCAAGACATGTTTAAAATGAGCAAAAAGTTCTATCATTGCTAGAAAAAAAAAAGGAAACCCTCTTTTCCCAAAAACAACCCAGTTAGTATTTAACTTTCATTAAAATATTGAGTTTTCAAGAATTATGCAAGGAAAAAAAGATTTTGTTAGTGTTTTAAGAAAAACCAACATGTTCAAAAAAGGTTCCTTCTTAATCTTAGTGAATTAGATGTTGCATTTAAAAAAGACTATCTTAATGTCAACGCCAGTTTGTCAAAGTTCAGTGCCTTGAAACCTATATGGTACGTTGCAACTAATGCATCAGATATGCACAATATATATGTATGCATACATCATCAAAATAAAAAATCTCTAATTGGTGAAAATAAGGTGGAATAAAAGTAATAAAGATTTTATGAGTTTAATTAATTGTTCTATTGAAATGTGCAGTGTATGCTGCACTGCTATGCCCTGGTATTCAAGTATTAAAGGGATCCCTAAGTGCTCCTAACATATGATCTCATATGAAAGAGCATTAAAAAAAAATATGTAAGTTTTTTTTTCTTTTTCCCTAAATTGTAATAATAAATGCATGCTAACAAAAAGCAATTGCCGAAATCACTAAAAAACAACTCCATTTTGATTTTATTTTTTCACCATTAAAACTTGATTGTTAGTCGTTAAAAATCACGTTAGTACGTCACAACAACTTTAGAATATTTACTTCGATTTTCAAGTAAAAAAAAGTCGTGATTAAATAGTTAAGTTTTAATCAAGTTTTTTAAATTAGTTTTGCAAAAACAGTATAATAGCATTCGGTTGAAAGACGTCGTTAAAAAAAAGTTATTAAGTAATAGTTTTAAATAGTTTAGAACTTATAAAAAAGTCTTACAGGGCTTGTATTTTTTTTGGTTGATTAATTACTTTTTTCTAGCTTAGGATTTTTTTTAGCAATTCTTCAAAGTAATGTTTTTATCATAAAGAACGTCACACAAAATTTTTTATTCTGAATAGATAATTTGCTCTTTCGTGCGGAGATTTTTTTTCAACGTAAAACATTTTTGAATTTAAATTACTTTAAATCTCTGCGTGGAATATTTTTACAAAGTCGTTAAAGCGAAAAGTTGAAAAGTTGGTTTTTATCTTTGTTTATCAAAACTTCATGTTTAAAATAATGCTTAAAAACGTTAGAGCAAAAAAATTACTGACTTTTATTTGCATTTTTATACTGTTTGAAAAAAAAAAAACTAATAAAAAAGAATTAATATATAATTATTAATTAATATATTATTAGTTAATTCTTTTTTATTAGTTTTTTTTTTCAAACAGTATAAAAATGCTAATAAAAACCAGCAATTTTTTTACTTTAACGTTTTTAAGCCTTATTTTAAACATGAACTATAATTCGATTTATTAAACCAAATTTTTTTGTTTTATCTTTTATTGGAAAACTTGAAATAGAAAAATTGAATAAAAACATCAACCATTTAAATGAAAAACTTAATTATATTTAAACTTTTATTAGTCCTTTATTCAAGAAACAATAAATTATAAAAAACGTGGTATTTAATTTTTTATTAAATTTTTGACGATGTTTTTTGATTTATTGACGATAATTTTTTCCCTCCATTACCGCACATCGGCGCAAGCTATAAGAAAGAGGGGAGGGGGGAGAGAGCTATAAGAGAGAGGGGGAAGGGGAGAGAGCAAAAAAAAAAAATTTCTTGGTGATTAGATTTTTTTGCGTTAATTCAAGCCCTGTCTTTTGTTTAATTTCTAATAAAATGTCTATTC